GCTAGTATATGCGATCCATTTAGCCGCTACTTCAATAGGGAAAGTCCTCGTACAAAAACTATCCAATGAAGATGTGACATTGGATTAGGTACTTACTCAGCACCTCCATGAAGAATGGACGAACATTGTCACATTAAGGACATCCACGAACCTAGCGCTGCCGTCAAAGCAGAAAATTAGTTAAAAACCAATATCAAGTACCAAGTGTTATCCACGTCTGTCTTGTAAACTAATGTCCCGCAGAATGAGTATGCAGCTCGATCCTATCTCGTAAGAAAGAATGAAGGTCAACTAAAAACTTATCATTTTTTCTCCCGGAATCTCTTCCAGTTTGATAAAATCACTAATGACTAAACCCAAATAAAAACTTTGGCTCCAACAGTGGGCAGTATCTTTCTTACTATCTACCTCATAATCTGTATATCAAATTCAGCTTCGGTACTTCAGGGTGGCAATATTTTCTTATATACCTTTACCAAGAGTAGGCAACCCATAAAAAATGAAATGGCCCACTCTTGTTTTGGAAGGGAGCAACATAGCAAAACTATTTTTCTCTGCGTTCCCGAGAACGATCGCCAGAGAGCGTACGTCTATCGTTTTTCGACCCCTTGGAAACCCAACGGAGATCACCGTTATACGCGTAATCAACAATCTGCAGGTGAACAGACGCAAGACCTTCGGTTTTTGGCAAGCTTAGACGTATATTTACGTATCGAGAGGACTAGGACTATGTGGATTTTACGTCAACAAGTAACAATGATAAAACATTTGAGCTGAACGAAATTTCGAGGGAATGAACGATAAGTGTTCGATTGACCTTCATTCTTCCTCACGAAATAGGATGGAGCTGCATACCCATACTGTAGAGCATTAGTAAAGACAGACGTGGATAACATACTTGAGGTGAAAATGTAGTTGGGGGGGCCACCCATCCGAAAGTCAGTATATCAAGAAATGACGTCAGTGAAACACGTTATGTCGTGTTATATCAGAGATGCCAGTTTTCAAATGAGGGCTTCCGTAGGGAAGGGGCACCGCGGTAGGCAAGTTTTCTTCGTTTTTTTCTTTTTTTTTGCAGGAGGTAATCATCCTAGCCACCCACGTGCTCCTACCATACCTAGGCTTATTTGGGAAACTACATTTCCTTAGCTGAAACCGCTTAAAAGGGCTTAGGTGGTCGGCTCCAATCATCCTCTACGCATCCGGTACAGTGCTGATATAACAAGGACTAACACGTTAGACTGAGTTCATTTCTTGATATACTGACCTTCGGATGGGTGGCTCCCCCCCAACTACATTTTTACCCATACTCGATATTAGTTGTTAACTCATTTTTCAGTTGAAATGGTAACGCTAGGTTCGTGTTTGTCCATGATATGATAATGTTCGTCCATTCTTCTTTGAGGTGTTGAGTAAGGACCTGATTCAATGTCACATCTTCATTTGAATGAGAATTTCCCCTATCAAAGAAGCCATCAAATGGATCGTATATACTAGCAACTCTCGCTTCTAAGAAAGCACTTCTTTTTTTTGGCGCGGGTCTCTGTGTATATTAGAAGTATGGAATTCTACTTGTCTTAAGTTGTCTTTAAAGCAATATCAAGTATCTTACTGCGTTTGTCAATTCCGTAATCATCTCTTCCCTTGACAAATCACTTATCGTTGCTGACTTGGTTTCTGAGGTTCATGCCTGCACCGCGAAATAGGATTTTAGACTCACAGAATTGTTGTTTTGTACTACTGAGTTGACGTCGTAGAAGATGTTGTCCACATATGTGTTTCGAAATATTTCCTGTGACAGACAGTTATCGGTACTCTAGCGATGAAAGTGGTTGGTAAGAACGATGAGCATATTAGTCAGGAGTGACAATGCGGAGAAGTTGTACCTTACTGAAAATGTTATTCCTTTCAATGGAACAGTGATCAAAAGAATGGTCTGAAATCGCGACTCTCTTCATGAAGTTCTATGATGGAAATGTCTTCTTTACATACTTGATAAACATGATAAACATGTAAGCGTTGTTCGAACCCGGGGAGATTTGTCGAGGTGTTAGGCGTAAGCTTAGGTTCTATTGTATAATTCATTCGTGGTTGAGAAGCTTTTCTTCTTTGAAGATCAATCGAACCTGATGCGATTTTGATTCTGAAATGGTGCCGTAGTGCGTGAGGTAGTGTACTCGTTTTGGTGAGCCAATCTCTGCAATTTCAATGCTGTCCACGAATGGTACTTTCTTGGGTAGAGGGTATTCTTTTAAGCATTTCCACGTTCAGAGCTAACTGAATGGAGCGAACTCTCGATTCGGAGATAGTTCAAAGGTTGGGTTTTGGAATGTGGTAAGCGGATTTGCTTTCCGCCTTACGAGATTGAGTCGTCAAGAATGATAGACATGTTCCATCATCCATCTCATCACGGCATTCGACTGATATGTATTATGAGTTCGCTTGACTGCACACGCTTGACAAGTTGTAGATTTTTAGCATACTTGGAAGGAACAGCGGTTCTTTTAAAGTCGTTGAATACAGTCTAGTTAGCTTGACTTCTACCAACGTTTTCGGGTATGTGTTTGCGGTTTGCTGCACAGGCACCACGCAAAACAAATATTTGGGAGCGATGAATTTGAGAAGTCTACATACAACACCAGACCATGGAGAATCATATAAGTAAGAGTGCTTTTGACGGTCTGAATCATCGATAAATGTTCTTCCTCACCGCTGCTTCATATGCAAATTTACTTCGTCTTCCCCTTGAAAATTTTTTATTTTGACGTGAAGAGTGCCATCTGTTTGGTGCAGCTAGTACCGACTGATTGATAAACTTGGTAAACTTTTATGAAAGGACTATGTTTCCGAAAGCGTTCACGTGCATTTCATGAGTGGTGGATGATGTCAATTGCACTTCACCGAAAACATGGTTGTGTAGCGCCGGTATCAAGGACAGCCGTGACAGCGACTTCCATAGATTTCTCAGAGGAACTGAACTATTCAATCTCACCACACATCAACAGCAGCTTTGTAAGGAGTAGTACATTATCGGCACTGTGATTAACAACAGATGAATCTGCATTAGCTGTTACGTTGAAGGCAGTTTGACTAGCAGAGTTCGACTCAACGAGGTGTGGATCATTTCGGTAACAACGCAAATGGAAGCCTTGAAAGGGTAAACTCGATGAATTGCATGATGGTTATTTATGTCTCTCACATAGGTAGATTCATGGTCTGACAGGCAGAATTTGATTTAAGCCAAGGTCTTTCCTGAAGCATTTTCCAGACATCATTCACTGATCTTAATAAAGGCGCAATAGCAACTTGAGTGATCNAATGTGCAATGCTATGCCTGAAAATTCCTCTGTGCAAAACGTTTTTGTTCTTTGTAGTAGTGGACGCTGTAAGGCCGGGACTTGGCCAACATAGCACATATGTTACTTTATCTCGTTCACTTATAAGTGCAACGCGGTTGGCTCTCGTGTACAGCCTCCAGCATAGGAAAGAACGATTCAGTTCGAACGGCATATAATCACAACTCAAATATCCATCTTTAAACCCATTGCTTCACAGTAGTCTATTTAGGGAACCTGGACTAGCCTTCTTCAACTGGGCTAGTTTTTGTGACTGTGGTGTTTAAATATTCACTGTGGAAAGGAATCGTGACAGGTGTGTGTAGCGAAAAGGTGAATCACTGAACTGCTTCTAGAATTCCTAAAATGCGAGAGAACGCAAAATCTTGTCGAATTCAGATGACTCGGATTTTCATTTAATTTCAAGAAATGATTGTAATTTTTCGACGATTTTAATTTTTAACACCGCGGAGAACTATGGTAAAATAACATGTTTACTCGATTTCGCTGAATCTACGGAGTTGTTCATCTGTTCTTCGTACTGACATAGAGCTACGCTAGAAGGAAGGGCCGCGATGGTCTTCCTCGTCGGCCTCTGGGGCGGGCAGTTGCGCTCTCAGGCTGGCGTAGCCATACTCGTCTGCTGCAAGGATTTCACGTGATCCTCACGTACATCCATCCAGCCCCAGTGATTGATAATCGTCCCATATGAATTCTCCATCATCAGCCATGGTTCCTCCCCGATGAGTGCTTCTTACTTAATCTCTCCTCCGTTGAGTTGAGTTTTTCAGTGGCCGCCGCCCGCGAGTAGTACTTCCTCGGGGACTCTTCTTGTTGGCGTCTCTGTTCACAACGAAAACCACAATTTCGTGTTTGATTCCAAACGAGGCTTCAAATATCAGTGCTCTAGATCTAGCGTGGTCGTTTCACACGCTACGTTTTTGGAAGCGTTGATATCAGTTCCAACCTATTCATCCGCTCCAGCTTCATTCCAGTGAGGTTGCACTCGTCATTTATTTTTGAGCTCACTAGCTCATCTAGCTGTTTATCGGTTCTAGCCAAAAGTCATAGCGACATTTGTGCGACAATCTCTCGCAATTTCAGCGGACATTTTGCAACGACTTCAGTTTAAGTACTCGCCTGTTGTACTTCACTTGCAGCAAGGTTATCCACCTTCTTACAATTAGACAGGCGCTCTAGCGTCGCTTCGATGGAGGCAAGTTGTTCTGCTGTAGTGTTCTCGTCCAACAGCAGTTCCTCTAGCTCCTCTGGGCACACCTCCATACTCGACATATTACTCAATAATAGCAACTATTAGGAGATCGCCGGCCTTTTATAGGTGCTGAAAGGGGCGGGGTCGCTAGAATTTTCCGATTGGTCCGTTGTGGACCTGCCTTCTGACCTTATCAATTGTCGGCGCCTTTATTTATCGCTTTGCAGCGGCGTCTTCCACCTCTGAATAATGGAATCCGAAAACAAGAAAAACTGCAACAGGACAATTTAATACAAAACAACACATTCAAACAATAATTACAATAACAACTGTCACATACATACATGCTCGTCGGAGACGAATAGTCGTCCCGACTCTTAAGCTCGGCGATTGTTCCCCCTTGGGTGCCTTGTCCATTCCTTTCCCACTTTGTTCCTGCTTTCGGATGCTCCTCAAGCGGCTCCATAAGGATGTGTTCTACGCGGTGGAAAGCTCACTGTCCTCGTTTTAAAAATCCTTGCTCCCTGCTGGGATGTCATTCTCTCTTCGCGCGGCACGCCACCAGGGCGTCGAAACGAAATAATCTGGTAGTGTCGTCTATGTTCGGGGTCTACAATGACGGAGAAATTTCTTTTGAATTCGTCTCGACGTCGCCTCATCTTAGCTGCTTTCACTTCCCGGCGCTTCTCCTTGAGCTGGTCCGATGCGGCTTCAAACTCTCACAGTCTGAGGATATCGCGCATGGTCACACGCATCTTCTCCAGGAACAAGATAATTGGGCAGTTGAATCGAGTCCCCTTGAAGTGTGGGTCCGTTCCGAGGCAAAGGGCAGGGTGGTTATACGGAGTGGTTTCCAGAACTTCCTTGTAGTGGTCTCCCAAATCGGCCTCGAATCAGCGATCCGGTGTGGTCATGAACCTTACGAATTTCCGCACACTCTTCCCATTGCAATCCATTCCTGCTGGTTGTGATCCTCGTGAGGACTCGGGAAGAACAGAAGTGTCCTACCCGGCTGTAGATAACTTCCCAGGCTAATCAACAGTTGCCTCATGGATCTTCCAGACGTCATCATGTCGGGCCATACCACGATTATGGCAGTAAATATTATATATGACCTCCCGTTGCTTTTAATAAAAAAACTCCCAGTCTTCATAGAGGTACACGGTTAATGCGTCTCCGTAGTCGACCTCCATGTGTACCCTCGCAAATCCTGGTGGTAACGCCGCAAATACTGGTTGACCGACGACCGCGGACGCTCCTGAGGGTTTTACATGCTTCAGCATAGCTAATGCCGTCGTGATGTGGCCTCCCACATCATATTTAACGATTTAGCGGACCACGGAAAAAGCGCTAGATGGTCGAATCTCATGCCCTAGGCAGCGTCGATGGTTTCCGCATAGATGTGACAACGGCTTCGATGTGTCTCCATGACCAATGCTAGCCCGTATTGCGACATGAACTGAAAGTTCTTCATGCGTAGCGCCCCTTCTTTACGCTCATCTCCCCAACATCCCTGCTACGAGATGGATCCAGATTGGTGAGCTGAAACATATCTGCACTCGTTTTGCTCTGGCCATCGTCCATCGTCTTTAGCGTCGGCAATGCCACATGAGCCATTTGATCGAACAGCCCGCAAGAGCACTTACGTCTCAAATTCAGCGTCATTGTGATCAGCATCCTGGAACAGGTTACCTTTTCAGAACTGTCAGCAGGATGAATTTCTTTTTGGGGTCTCCCCTTTCGTGCGGGTCGAAGCTGTTCTAAGGAGCTCCTGCGAGACTCCTGCTGGCAACTTCACCAGCATTCGGACAGGGTCTCTGTCCCCTTCATTCCACGTTAGAGGGCACTATTCTAGCACGCTCATGTCTAGCACGCGTTATGGATCTTCTCCGGGTTGATCAATTTAGGATTTTGAGATAGTTGTTCCTCGCGCGGAATTTTGTCATGAACACCCTCTCACCTATCTTCGGTAGTTTGGTACATATACTTTTGTTCCTATCGTAAGCGATCTTCGTCTTGCGCCGCATTTTATTGCTATCCTCTCGCTCGTACTCGCGCGCGATGTTAGTGACCGCAGTTACTTCCTGGTTGTAGCTATCAACGTCTACGTATTTGCTAAATTCCTGGCTTGGGATGGTGTTCCACGGAATATAAGGATCGAATCTACATGTGTAGCATGCACAATGGTAACTCTTCAGTATATTCATGGACTGTCGTATAATAAGCAAACACACAAAATGGGAGTATTTTATCCCACTCAGCAGATACAGACACATTTTTTTTCAACATTTGGATTGTTGTCTGATTAAGTCTTTCAGTCAGACCATTCTCTCGTGGAATATAGCCCTTTGTATAGACATGGTCGATACCTAGGAGTGATTTGAGCTCGTGCATCAATCGATTGTCGGACTTCCCTCACTGATCTGATCGAATACATTTCGGTAAGCGTCCTGCCTCAGCGGCCCAAATTTCAAAGAATACTCTTGTAGCTTCCGTAGCTGTTTTTGATGGAATGTCGTATACTCCATTTAAAAAGTAATCTATTATGCTAAGTATGTAACGGTTGCCGTTGGACGTGAACCCTATTTCTAGGATATCGACGCCTACCTGTCGTAACGATGGGTATCAACCCTGGTGTCATAGGGTGGTGATGATTGTGGCATAGGCATTTCTGACACTCTTAGGACCACATAGTGATAACCCGTTTCATTGTCTTCCAGAACTACTCTTTTCACACTTGCCTGATCATCTTTCTAGGACCAATGAGTCCAGCCAGTAAACCTAGGTGTACTTCTTCAAAAACTGCCATTCTCTTGGACGCTGGAACAATCCTTCGGACAGAACATTTATCTAGTGTAGCAAGACAGCCTCGATCCATGACAAATTCCCCTACTTTGAGCTTTTGAAAGAGTTTAGGGATTGCGATATCCCTGTCCAGATTCCCACTTTCTAAGCTCGTTATGTTCTCAGCATAAGTAGAGTCCTGTCGAAGTTCCATCGTCCATTGCGGCCCCTACAAGGCCGCAGCCACGATGAGCTCATTAGGGATACACCCCAATTTCTTCCCCTCGTCTGATGGAACAGCTCCACGACTCAGGGCATCCGCAGCGCGATTCACAGCTCCTTTCAGATGGATGATTTCCATGTTATACTTCTGGAGTTCAAGGGCCCAACTGGGTACTCTGGCTGACACATTAGTGCGTTTGAAAAGTGCCGTCAAGGGTAGGTGGTCAGAGTACCCTTTCACTGGAAGTTCGTACACAAGCATGTGGAGCTTTCTCAAGGCAAAAAGGACCGCCAATGCTTCCAAATCATTTACGTGATAGCTCCTTTCACATGATGAAAGGCCTTCTGGAGCAAAGAACATCGGATGCAGAAATCCATCCTCTTCTTCTTAGCTCAGAACGGCGCCTAAACCTTGGATGCTCGCATCGGTATGTATCCTGAGCGGTCTCTTACCGCTCCTAGCCTCCCCAACATCCGGCTGCGTCAGTACACGCGCGTGCACAGTGATCGACTTCAATTGGTCAATGCACGATTTCCGAGCAGAAAACGCTGTTTCAGCAGAACGCTGAAACAGCGTTTTCTCGGAGGTCATCTCTTGCAGCGGAGCGGCTACTTTCGAGAATTCCAGCTTTAATTTCCGGTAGTACGAACACATGCCGAAAAAAGTACGGAGCTCAGCGCGCGACTGCGGGTAGTTCCTAATTGATTCCACTTTCGCTGAATCAATGGTAACCCGTCATGTCCGATGATGTGACCGAGAATCTACCCTTCATCTCCAGCAGCACGCATTTCTTAGGAATCAACTCGAGTCATGCTTTCAATAGTATTTGGGACATCTGTTCCAATACTTGGAGATGCTGCTCCACTGCTTCTGCTGCTACCATTATATCGTCAACGTTACGAAAACGTCTTTTCCTAACAAAGGATCTAAGACCACATGCATCAGTCGTTGGAATACTGCGGGTGAAGATGCCAAACCTAAAGGCAGCACCCGAAACTGGTACCTTCTGTTAGGCTTATTTGCCAATCCCCTGACGACAAGTCCAACTTGGAAAGATCCCCCTTGCCCTTCAAGCTTTGCAGGATCGTGTCAATTGTTGGTGATGGATAGCTTTCAATTCTCGTCACATGATTGACCTTGAAGTAATCTTTGCACAGTCAAACGGTAACATCTTTTTTGTGGACTAATACCATAGGCGACGACCCGCTAAACTTATGCGGTTTAATGATCTTTCTCTCGTGTAGGTCGTGCAAAACTCGCCTAAAATGCACACCAACGGCCAGTGGCACACGACGAGCCTTGTGTCGAATTGGCAGTGCATGTCTAGTATCGATGGTATGCTCCACCATTGTGGTCTTAGTGATTTTCTGTTCGCTCACTGTGAACACCTGCGCGTAACTCTGAGCCAGACTGCCTATTGCTTCGTTGTGCTCTTCTGTGGTCCTGTCTATCTGTGGGAACTTCAGCGGTACATTCCAGCATGTCGCCGTGGTAGGCGATAAGCTCTACCTCACGATCTCTGTAAGCTCAAAGGTTCCTACCTCCTCCCCTACTCGGAGAATTTTTGCTCCTGCAAAGGTGGTCGTAACAGGTAGGCTTATACTTACTTATACTTATACGGCTCGTCTTCACTCATGTGCGAGCACCAGCAAAAAACCATTCGCTCCTGTCTTTCGCGATCGCCATCCACTGTAAACTTAGAATTCGACGAAGATGACGACGTGAGGAGTCGTCCAGCTGCTGTCGCAGCTGTTTCACGCGGCACATCCCCCATCTCGCAGCAGACCTACCCTTGAATCGTGAAGTTCCTACGGAAGTCCACTCGACAGTCCTTCTTGCCCATCTGTCATCATCTCTTCTCATTATATGACCGGCCCACCTAAATTTTGTGTTCTTCATGTATTGCACCGGATCGCGGAGTCAAGACATCCTGCGCATATCGGAGCTGCGAAGTCCGGCTCGATATTGAGTGAGTCGATTGAACAACAAAAGACATCGCTCAAGCGCTCTGTGACTTGTATTCAAAGCTCTTGCCGTTAATGCAGTGGTCACCCTAGCCCCCACCCGTAACAGAACGCAAAAGAACAGTGGAGTCGAAGAGATTAAAGCGAAGTTCGGGGCAAGATGGTTAGTAACCTTTTTCAAAGGTCCGAAGGGTGCCCACGCTGCTTTCTGCCGTTTCACCAGTTAATCTCTTGTGCCGTTTTTCATATTCATGGAACGCGCGAGATACACGAAGGACGAGGTGCTCTCGATAGGTGTACCATCGATCATAATTTGACCTTCGTCAGCCCAAGCATTCTTCATGAACTGTGATTTGTTTGGTTGATCCGCAGCCCTACCCTTCTTTTTTGCTTTATCAAGCTCAGCGAGCATAGTCTCAGCTTCCACGACGCTGTTTGAATTAAGAACGTTATCGTCCGCAAAGCGGAGATTTGATAGAAACAGTTACGAATAGCCTTTTCCTCCCAGTCTAGCGACTTTATAACCCACTGCAGCACGGCTGTGAACAGCTCCGGCAAAAGAGAGTCGACTTGTCCCACACTCTTCCCTATGGGAACGAGGAGAGGTCGTTGGAACAGCTTCACCGTCGCGCTGCAGCGACCACTGCAGTCTGCTAGTGTTCTTATCTAGGGAGAGTCCACTCCTTGATCGACCAGTGCTGACAGGACCGCAACTTCGATGACCATTGCGACCGCTTGGATGCAGGCTCAGCAGCTGAATCCCTCTCGAAATCTCGCCTGTTCTACAGGCTGAGCTTCATCCAACGTTCGCGATATGCGGGTCACAATGGTCTTTGTGAACAGCTTGTAAAGATCTTCTGATTCTGGAGGTAAGATATCATGTGTGTTGCGAGAAGCGCATGAAGTTCGTAGCCACCTATACGGAGTAGGGCGGCTGGGATCTTTTCGGGGCCAGGAGTTGTGCCCCTTTTCATGCTCGCGATCGCAAATCACCCTCCCGAAGGAAAGATCCGTGGTGCTGTTCCGTCAGCGGAGAATTCTGGTTTTCGCTCTTGTGTCGTGGATCGGTACAGGTTGGTATAAAACATCGGTGTGACTTCCTCCATCTCAAATCTCGATACCGTAACTGTTCCGTGTTCCTTCTTCAAACACGAAAGTGAAATACTGTGATCCTAGAGATACCGATGGCAATTTCTCAGATTGGTTCTGTTCGTTGTCTAAAGACTTTGCAGAGGTTATTTACTTTGATCTGGGTGCTTTGCCATCTTCGCA